AGACGCACTTACACCAATCATTAATTCGTTAAATAATAAAAACATTTTCTATTATAGAGATAGAGGTGTGTATGAAGATGAGAATATTAGTTGGTGTGTGTACTCGCAATATCAAGGGAATATTCCTCCTGATTTGAATGTTGCAACAGGAATAAAAGTGGGATTGTTCCACGGACCAATTCAAGGAATGAAAACTGATTTGGGATTTGACTTTGGGGAGGAAGCGTATGATGTTGAAAAGTTCAATGGACTTGATGTTGTATTATGTGGTGATATCCATAAAAGACAAGAATTTAACTTTAAAACGGGTAAAGGTTATATGATAGGTAGTCCAATACAACAAAATATTGGGGAAAGTATTGGTAGACATGGATATGGAGTTTATAATATAGAAACAAAAGAATACGACTATACGGACTTATTCAACCCCAAACCATTTTTAAAGTTTGAAATTAAATCATTTGAGGATATTGAAAATGGAACCGAATTACTCAAAAATCTTTAATAAAAAAACAATGCAGACAGTGTCTGCATTTTGTGAATTAAACAAAATTGACGATATAGATAAATTCATCAAAAAATGTTTTACTGATGGATTTAATATTGAAAAATACGGACTTTTGGGAGAAACACTTAATGAAGGTGAAAAAGACTTAAAAACGGATGTTGTTGAGGAAAAACAATTAATAAAAGAAGTGATTGTTGAAAAACGGGTGGAAATACCTGTAGAAGTCATCAAAGAAGTTGAGAAAATTATTGAGGTGGTTAGAGAAGTACCCATTGAAATTATTAAGGAAGTCCCTGTTGAAAAAGTTGTCACAAAAATAGAATATATTAGTGACAAGTCTAGTGAGAACGAATTAACGGAAAAAATTTTCCACTTAAATGAGGAATTAGAAAAAGAAAGACAAAAATTTTCCACTAAAACCGAAGAAATGGAAAATTTTTTCCAAAATGAAATGTCTAAAAAGGATGAAGAATTAGACGAACTTAGACATAATTTAGACGAACTTTTAGACAAACCTCCTGTTGAAATTATCAAGGAGGTAGAGGTAATTAAAGAAGTTGAAAATAATGAAAAGTTAAAAATGATGGGGGAAACTTTACAGAAACTTAGAAAAGAACTATCATTAAAAGACAAAAAAATTGAAGAATTAGAAGAAATAAATAAACAATTAGAATCTATGAAGGTAAGCCAAGGTGCTGTATACCTCAAAGGTTCAAACTTAACACGAAGATTATGATGATATTAATTTGGTTATTAGCGGCATATGGAATGTCAAATATATTGGTTTACGGATCAATATTTCAAGGAATAAGAGATTGGTTTAAAAACACAGGTAATAGTGGAATACCAGTGATAAGTGACTTCTTTAAGTTCATATCTGATTTAGTGTCCTGCATGATGTGCACTAGTGCGTGGACAGGATTTTTTATGTCATTTGTGGCATATTCTCCTTGGCATGAAATTATAGGATTAAATCAGTACGCATCTATATTTTTTGATGGTATGTTAGCATCAGGATTTGTATGGGCGTTTAATGGTATAGTAGAATGGTTTGAAGAAAATCGACCTAATAATAATGTTTTATAAATAAGTAAAAATGGGAAAAGCAAAGAAAGAACACAGAGCGAAAGTGGTAAAAAGAAATCAGAGAATTGCCGAAGAGAAAGGTAAAATGCAAAGAGCATTTAATAAACTTCTTCAAGAACAAATGGAGAAATTCCAAGAAAACGAAGAATTGAATGTTCAAGTGGGTGATCAACCTGTTCAATTTAGTGTGGTTGATCCTAATGAGGTAGAAAACACCATAGACATTGAAACTGTTGGTGAAGGAACCCTTATTAAAGAAACTACCACATTTGAAGACGAAGAACAATAATAAATGGATCTGTTTAATCCACCAAAAACATTTAATTATAAAATTATGATAAAAGATTTAGAGTTTTCTAAATTTGAAAACCCACCTATTCAAGTAGTATGGGAAGACATTTCAGAGAATTTCACACAAGATAAGATTAAGAGTGTTAAACATTACTTCCAAAAAAAGTACGGTTCCACTAATGTGAATGTTATTACAAAAGTTAAAAACATTCAGGAAGATACTATGCAAAGTGTTGATGTGTCTGTAAACATTATGGACACAAATTATCAAACTGATTTGTTGAAACAATTTCTTAAGTCTAAGGGGTATGAAAATCGTATTGATGAGGTTATGTCAATCAATAGAATGGTTGAGAATAAAATGTCTGAATCAGAAGATGAAACCTCATCATTTAAGAAATGGTATATCAAAAATATTGAATTCTCTAATTTCTTATCATATGGTGATAATCAGCGTATTGATTTTGATAAATGTAATGGTATTACAGTAGTTGAATCTAATCCACCTAACTTTGGTGGTAAAACAGTATTATCGGTGGATTTATTAATGTTCCTATTCTTTAATGAGACAACAAAAACATCAAAGGCGGAAGAAATCTTTAACCGATTTACCGATAAAAACTCGGTAGTTGTAAAGGGTGAAATTATTATTGATGGTGAAGAATATATTATTGTTAGAAACATTGAAAGAAAAATGTCTAAGAAAGGTGAATGGAATGTTAAAACCGAATTAGACTTCTTCAAAAAACTTTCCGACGGTAGTTTACAAAACTTTACTGGTGAACAAAGACGAGAAACCGAACAATTCATTAAAACATCAATCGGTTCTAAAGATGATTTCTTAATGACAATTTTAACCACTGCAACAAATCTTGAAGATCTTTTGGAATCAAAACCAACGGCAAGAGGACAGGTACTCTCAAGGTTTATGGGGTTGGAGTTTTTAAAGAAAAAAGAAGAATCCGCAAAACAAATTTATTCTGATTTTTCTAAATCAATGTTATCTAATGTTTATAATACTGAACAATTAAAAAGTGATAATGAGCAATATGAAACTGATATTGAAAATTTTAAAACTAGTATTGAAACATTAAAAGACGAACTTAATCAAGTTGAAGTAAACTTAACAAAGGGTAAGGATTATCGTGACGATATGTTAAAAAAGAAACATACCGATATAGATAATGATATTGCCCAAACAAACCCTGATAAAGTACAAGATGAAATTAACTCATTTGAGTATCAAAAAGGTGACATCATTAAGAAGTCAAATGAATTACAAGTCATTGAACCATCTTCTTTTTATTATGAAGATCAACACGATAAGGTTAAAGAAGAATATAACGAAGTATTCAAGGAAAAAATTCAAGTTGAAAGTAAGATTAAATCAATTGAGGAATTAAAGAGTTCCGTTGATGGTGGAATTAAATGCGAACACTGTGGTATTGATTTAATGATGGCATCAATCACCCAATCTAAAATTGCCGAACTTGATGGTTATAATAGGCAAAAAGAGGAAAAAGAGGGGTTAATGACGGTTTTATCAGGCAAAGAACAGGCATTTGTACAACTTAAAAAAGAGTTTGATGAGTATGAGAAAAACAAACTTATTAAAGAAAAATATGATTTGAGTATTGAGAGTTATAATCTTAAAATTGAAAATTTAAAACAAAAATTAGGAAGATATAACGAATTGATTGAAAAAATTAAGGAAAATGAGAAGATTGAGGGTATGTTGTTGAAAGCGGGTATTAGAATTGAAGAACTTGAAAGAGAAAAGACTCAAAAACAAACACTAATCAATAATAATACTTACCAAATCACCTCGTTGGAAGATAAGATTAAAAATAATTTAAATACAATAATCAAAATTCAGGAGGAATCTGAAAAAGAAAAATTGTATAAAATATATTTGGAGGCGTTCGGTAAAAATGGGATATCTAAAATCATAATGAAAACTATGATGCCGATAATAAATTCAGAACTTCAAAGACTAATGGAGGATAGTTCATACTTCAAACTTGAAGTTAGAATTAACGATAAGAATGAAGTTGAGTTTATGATGATTGATAACGGTACTGGTGTTGAGAAATTAATGACATCAGGTTCAGGTTATGAAAAAACAATTGCATCATTGGCATTGAGATCGGTATTAAGTAAGATTTGTTCATTACCAAAACCAAATATAATTGTGTTTGATGAGGTGTTCGGAAAAATATCTAATGACAATTTGGAAATGGTTTCAGAATTCTTTATTAAGATTAAAGAATATTTTGAGAAAATATTTGTCATTACACACAACCCAATGGTTAACCAGTGGGCGGACACCATCGTTAAGATTAGAAAAGAAGATAATATTTCAAAGGTATATCAATAAGATAGATGACTAAGTGGATTTTTATTCTTATATTTAGGTAAATAAGTTTAAAATGAGAGATAAGAAAATTTTGGTTAGGGATTTAGTTATTCATTTAAAAAAATTAAAGTTTGCAAAATATTTAGTTGAGTATATTGATAACGAAATTCCTTTAACCATATTCCCTATTGCGAATAGGGAGGGGTTGACAATAAATGAATGGGTGAAAGATGTTGAAGATGATGTAAGACAACACACAGTTTTGACTACAACCAGATTATCATATGATGGTGTTAAATCATTTTTAGTTTACAAATTAAATACAATTCTCTCAACCTATAAAGACGCAAATATTAAAGTACTTAAAATTACTGAGATTGTTAATACTGAAGAAATTGAGGGTAAATCTTTTGACGCTATATTTGAGTTTAACGGTGAAATTATTATAATTGAAATTAAAGTAACCCAAAGCGATACCGCATTTACAGGTGCGACACATACAACATCAAAGGCGGATATTTTTTTATTAATATCATTATCAATTAATCGTGATAAAAAAGTTAAGGAAAGTGAAAAATATGTTGATGGTATTTTCGGTATGTTAATTAACTTGGATAAAGATTTTTGGAAAGGTGAGGCTAAAAATAATAGTAGTTTTACCACACTTAAATTTTTATCAAATATTGACTATAGTGAAAATATTTTTTGTGGTAGTCTTAAAAACAATAAAGTATACCAAAAACTAATTTTTGAAAAAATATGAACGAAGTAATTTTAGGTAATGCTATTGAAGTATTACAAAGATATGAGGATAATACATTTGATTTAACTGTAACATCACCACCGTATGATAACTTAAGAACTTATAATGGAAAAATTAAGGATGAGGTTGTCTTTGAAGATGGATTTAGTTTCCCATTTGTGGAAATGGCTCGTGAATTATATAGAGTAACCAAGAAGGGTGGTGTTGTTATTTGGGTGGTAAATGATCAAGTAAAAAATGGTGGAGAAACTGGTAGTTCATTCAGACAAGCACTTAAATTTAAGGAGATTGGATTTACATTGTACGATACTATGATTTATCATAAGAATGGAGCCCCATTTCCTGAAACAGGTAGATACTCACAAGTATTTGAATATATGTTCGTCCTTTCAAAAGGGAAACCAAAAACGGTTAATCTATTAAAAGATAAACCAAATAGATGGGCGGGACATAGTAATTTTGGTGATCCATCAAAAAGAGAAAAAGACGGAAACCTTAAAAAGGTTGACAAGTTTGTAGTATCTGAATTCGGAACAAGATATAATGTATGGTATGTTAATAACGGTAAAGGGTTCTCATCCAAAGATGACATCGCATTCCAACACCCCGCAATATTTCCGGAATCATTAGCAGAGGATCATATTCTATCTTGGAGTAATGAAGGTGATATAGTATTAGATCCTATGTGTGGTAGTGGAACGACATTGAAGATGGCGAAACTTAATAACAGAAATTATTTGGGTATTGACATCAATGAAGAATATGTTGATTTATCAAATCTAAGAATACAAAATATTGAACCATACACTAATGAAACACCTAATCCAAAAGTTAAATTCCTTTTATCTAAAGAAGATGCTTTATTGAAAAGAAAAAATAATAAAGAATCTAAAAATTTGTTGGATTAATAATTATTTGTATATTTGTAAAAAAAAACAATATGAGATATCTAATGTTTGTGTACGGTGAAAGTGAAACTATGGATAGTGAAGCCTTAACCACTAAAATTGGTAAAGAAATCCAACCCATTGTAATTTCAGAACAGATAAAATACATTTATGGTGATGGTAACGCAATTTTTCATTTTGAATCTGAGTTAAAATATGAAGAAATGTCTATGTATGTTGAGATGGTTTTTGAAGAATTAGAAGACATCATGTTTACCTTAATACCCTTTAATGGTAAGATGGCAACAAATATGGGTAAGGATAGAAAAAATCACCTATTATCTATTGATGAGGAGGATAAAATTGAGATTAATACTTTCACGGTTAGTTCTGAAGATATTAATCATAATGATGGTGCGATTTTTGATATGTTTATGGATATGATTAATCAAGGTAGTCCATTTATTATTAATAAAAGAAATGGGGATGTGTGTAATATGTCATTGGACGAACTTTTAGATAAAATCAATGACAAGGGAATAAATTCACTCACAAAGGCGGAGAAATTAAAATTGGAACAATACTCAAAATAAAATATATGAAGGAAAAAGGAACAGGAATGCCCATTAATCAGGATGAAATCTCTCACTACCTAAAGGATATTAGGAAGATTAAAGTTATGACACCTGAAAGGGAAAAAGAATTATCTAAACTTATGATGTCGGATACTTTAACTGACAAACAACGAAAACAAGTTGAACAGGAGTTGTTAACAGGTAATTTACGATTTGTTATTACCGTTGCAAAACAATATCAAAATCAAGGTTTGGATTTTCCTGATTTGGTTGCTGAGGGTAACTTAGGGTTATTGAAAGCGATTAAAAACTTTGATTGGAGTAAAAATTTGAGGTTTATCTCATATGCCGTTTGGTGGGTTAAACAATCTATTATCCAGTCTTTAAATGACAATGCAAGAACAATTAGACTTCCGGTGAATGTTGTTCAGGAACTTCATAAGGCTAAAAAAGAAATTGAGAATAATGGAGGAAAATTATCGGATAAATTCTCATCTCTACCATCAATGATTGACTTGGACATGAATATTAATGATGAGGGAGATACATTCCTTGATATGATACCAAATATGGATGCAGACGCTCCTGATGCGGCTTTTAATACTGCGGACATTCTTAAAGAAAAATTAATCAATACACTTAGTGTTTTAGATGAAAGAGAACGAGTAATTATTGAGGATTATTTTGGACTTAGTGGAACACCAAGAACTTTGGAAGATATTGGAGGTGATTTTGGTTTAACTAAAGAACGAGTAAGACAGATTAAAGAAAGAGCTTTGAGAAGGTTACGAAATGAGAGTTCTGAATTATTTGATTATATCTAAATAATTTTCTATACTTTTTGTTTGGCGGTTTAAAAAAGATCATTACATTTGTAATGTATCTAAAACGAAATATTATGACAAACGACATCATCAAAGTAAACGAAGGAACATTATCAGGAGACGTATTCTACGGATCATTCAACACCACAGTAAAAGGTAAAAGAATTTCAGTTTCGGTTTCAAACCACCTTAAAGATGCGGACAAAGAATACGAATTCCGTATCGCAAATAAATGTCAGGCAGGATTCATCAATATCCACGACACTAAAGGAACTGCGGCGAGTGTTATCCGTGGATACCAAAAAAACTCATTGGTTAATATCCAAGCAAAAAATGAGTACGGACAGTGGATGAATGTTTACACAATTAAAGGTGGTAAGTGGTACTCAATCGACAAAGGATTCTTGGATGTGTTGACTGTTGGGACAATGAGAGAGTCATTTCCTGATATGTGTGACATGGAACTTTGGGGTAGAATGGGAGCAAAAACTTGGGCTGACAAATCATTTAAACAAAACTAAAAAAATGGGGGGTATAACCCCCCCACATACACAAAAACAACCTTATTGGGAAATTAAAAAATAATATGGGAAGCGTAATTGATTATATTGAATGTACAAATTGTAAACACGAAGCGTTTAGTGACTTCTATTACAAAACAGGGGAACAATATGTAAGTTGTAATAACTGTGGGTATCACTACTCACAAACATTCCAAAGGGACGGTACCGGAAGGTTCATCACCAAAGACGGAAGTGATGATTATCATTTTGAAAATCTGATTATGAATGTTTCGGAACTTAAAAATCCTTATGGTGCGTACAGAATAAAGACATATCATTCACCAGCAACACAGTGTGGTTCTTTTGAGAATGAAGAACAGTGTAACGAGTTTAAGAAAAGTATTATGGATGATGTTGAAATTGAATTTGCGTCGGTATCCAGGTTTATTAACGAGGAAATTGTTGTTGAGACAATAATTGATAATGGACCTGAAGTTGATTCTTCTGGATTTACAATTGAGGATCGTTAATTTAAAATAACAGCCCTATCATATATGAACCCCCACCTAAAATGGGGGTTTTTCTTTATCTTTTATATTTATTAGGTATAGTTTAATAATATGAAAGAAAAATTTTTACCTTGGTTTTTATTATTTTGTGCGATAGGTTTATCAGGAACTGCAGCCTATTATAGTGTTGTTGGATTATCAATTGTTTTTATTGGTGTTGCAATACCAGTAATAATAATGGGTTCATTTTTGGAGATATCAAAAATCGCTATCGCAACATATCTTCATGATAAATGGAAGGAAACATATGGTGCGTTGAAGATATACATGACGATTGCATTGGTGACTTTATCAATTATAACCTCTTTAGGGATTTATGGATTATTGAGTACAGGGTTTCAGGGAAACATCGCAAAACTTGAAATAAATGAGAAAAAAGTCAAAAATGTTGAAGTTAAAAAGAAACGATTTGAAGAAATAAAAGACGAACTCTCTAAAGAAAAAACAATTCTTGATGGGGATATAACAAAGTTGAGGGATGGGCTCTCAAATAATACTACCACACAATCTGTGGATGGTAGAACTGGACAAGTAGTTACAAGAGCAAATAATGCAAATAGACGATCATTTGAAACACAACTATCACAAGCACAAGTTAGAAGGGATACTATTGCAAAACGAATTGATTCAATGAACGATAGTATTACTAAACTTGACATTGAAATTTTAGATATGGAATCTCAAGAAATATCTGGTAGTGAACTTGGGGCTATTAAGTATGTGAGCGAACTTCTTGATTGGGAAATTAAAAGGACTGCAAATTTATTTATTTTAATTTTAATATTTGTATTCGATCCTTTAGCGATTACATTGGTTATTGCAACAAACCAAGCATTTAAGTCAAGAAGAAAAGAAGAAGACACCCCCCAAGTACCCATTAACCACCCTACAAGTACCCCCCAAGTTAATGATACCGATGAACTACCGATCAACTACCGATCAACTACCGATCAAGTCAATGAGTATAGTTTTATTGATTATGACATATCCAAGGAGTTATCAGATGATATTGAAAATGATATACCAAAACCATCATCCCCTGATTTAGTTGTTGATGAATTGTTTGATACAATTGATAACTATGAATTAGATATTAATGAAGTAAAAAATAAAAAAAGATTAGTATATAAAAAAGAATGATTGATGTTGTAAAATACGGAGAATTTAAACCGACGGGAAAACAAAAGAAGAAAAAACAAATAATTTTATCTCATACATCTAGAGATGTTAAAAACTATTTAATGTCTTTAAAGTACCGATATAACGGAAAATACGACAAAGTTCCAAATTATATTGTTAACCGAGAAGGTAAAATTTTAAAACTTCTAAATGATAATGAACACTCTAATTATTTTTCAGAACCCAATATAAATAGGAACTCAATCATAGTATGTTTAGAGAATTTAGGATGGATGGAAAAAGAACCATTAAAAAATTCACACATTAATTGGATTGGTAATATTTATAAGGAGAAGATATATGAAAAAAAGTGGAGAGATTACTTTTTTTGGCAACCATATACTGAAATTCAGATAGAAAAAACTGCCGAATTATGTAATCATTTAATGAATGAGCTCTCTATAACAAAAGAATGTATCGGACATAATACTAAAATAAATGGTGTTGAAAGATATGAAGGTATTGTGACTAAAAGTAATTTTGATAGTGAATTTACTGATGTTAGTCCGGCTTTTAATTTTGAACAATTTATAAAGCTAATTGAAAATGAATAATTACGAGGAACTAAAAAAATTATTAGAATCATCAAGAAGATTACTTGGGGGAGATTTATTAAACGAAGAGTCTAATAGAATTAGAAAAAGTTATGGTATGATAACTGAACAGTCTAACCCAACAACTGATATAACAAAAAAAATCAATCCATTAGGGGACTCAGAAGAAGAAATTGAATATGAGACTGCTGATAGCGGTGAAGAAGAAACAGAGAGTAAACCTGAAAAGAAAAAAGCATATAGAATTTCGGGCGGAATTTTAGTTCTTCATGGAACAGATAGTACTGATATACAATTAACAACCGATGATAAAATCGCATTCCAAGAAAGTATGGATGAGTTTGTTGCGGAAGTGGCGGAAATTGTGGACTTCAATAAACTAAATGTTTATGAAAATAATGTAGAATGGTCAGGTAAAATTACAGAATTGGATCTTGAGTTCTTCTTCTCAATTGGTGAAACTAAAGGGGTATACATAAATGGTACTATGATTAAGTTGGATGATGAATTCTTAGAATTTGTTAATAAACTACAAACATACTACGAGAAATTTAAATCTAAGTGGTCTAAAGTGATTGCATCAAAAAAGAAAACACCTGAAAAATGAAACAATTCTTAAATACCAATTTTAAATACATCCTATTTGTTGGGGTTGGATTATTTGTTATGTACTTTATGGTTTATTTATTTACACCAAAACCTGAAATGTCAGAATTAGATAAATATAAATTAGAACAATTAGATAAAGACATTGACTCAATTTTAAAAAAACAACAACTGCTTGATAAAAGAATCTTAGAATATAAGACAGAACTAAGTAAGATTGACTCAACAATTGCACAAGTCAGAAACCAAAAAACTATAATAAAAGAATATTATAAAGAAAAAGGTGAAGAAATAACAGGAATGAAACCATCTCAAATTGACAGTTTATTCCATAAAAGATATAAGTATTAAGATGAAAAATTTATTAATTACATTATTGTTATTCGTTCCATTGTTATCATTTGGACAAGTTAAAAAGGACACAACACAGATTTGTTTCCCATATAGTGTTGGAAAACAAATTGCGTTAGATTTAAATAAATTAGATCAGTTAACTGAAGTACTTAAATTAACTGAAACAGAACTTAAAGAAACTCAAAACAAAGTAAGTGTTCAAAACGATATTATCACTACAATGGAACTTAAAGAAGATAATTATGAGTTACAAATTCAAAAGGAACAAGAAAAATTTGGAATTGTTGAAGAACAAAATGAAGGATTAAGAAAAGATATTAAAAAAATTAAAACCAAAAATACAGTTATTGAAATTGTTGGAGGGGCGATAATTGGTGCATTAACCTATATACTTATTTTTAAATAATGGCACTATCACAAACAGATAAAAGAGAAATTGAAACATTGGTTAGAAAAGAGATTAAAGATTTCTTAGGATCAACTACTGTGAAACAGTTTGAAGATAAACTGTTAGATAGAATTTCCAAAGAAATGAAGAGAGGTAAACTAGAAAAAGATGTAAAAGACTTAATAATAAAATCATTCAGAGAATTCTATACGATAATGTATCAACAAAGAAGTTTCTGGGAATCAAAATTCAGAAGTGCGTAATGGAAAACCTAACCGACTTATTTAAAAAACAATTCAACCAAGAAGCCAATATGATTGGATTGACAGGTATTGATCAAGCAAAAGCGAGAAAAGAATTTACTGAAAATAAAAAGTCGGAAGATGATGATATTAGAAATAAATCAAAAGATTATCTTAAAGATGGTGTTGATTTATCCGACATTATGAAATTAGTTAAAAATAAAAAATTAACTAATAATAAAATCAAAGGTGAAATAAGAAAATTATTAAAGAAACCTGAAGAACTTAAAGATTTCTTAAAATCTTTAATTAGTAAAGATAAGACTGAAACTAAAGAGGCAACAGGAACTGGAAGTTCGGGATCTGATATAACAACACCATTGTTTTCAGGTGAAGAACCCAAAAAAGTTGAAGCCACAGAAGCCGCGTCTTCAGGTTATGGAGTTGGTGCGTATGAAGGACCTAGTATTTGGGCAAAAACCACAAGTAAGAAGAATTGGAAACCATCAAGGAAGACACAGATACCAGGAGGAAAATTCGTTCAGGTTAAAAAAAAATGTAAACGATTTCCCTATTGTAATCAGGGAGATATTAAGGCTCTTAATATATTTGAAAACGAAACTGTTAAAAATGTTATTGAGAAAGTAAGTAACACCTATAACTTACACGAGGAACATATAAAAGACATTATTTTATATGAGTTAAGAAAAACAAACAAATAACGATATTTATTATAAAAACACAATTATGAAAAGTAACACTTATTACGATAATTTATTTAGAAAAGTTCTAACCGAAACTTTAGAAGGAAAGGCTGATGAGATAATGGAAAAATTAAAATTTAATCCTCCAGGGAAATCGTTTGACTATGTCCAAGAAGGAGAAACTTGTGAATGTGGAGGTGAAATGAAAGAAGGTGAATGTATGGAATGTGGATACATGAATGAAGAGATGAAAGAAAGTAGGTATGTTACATCCAAAGGAGGTAAATTCCCTAACGAAAAAAAGGAATTATCAAGACAAGATTCTGAATGGACTATGCCAGGATTTGATATGGAAGAATACTGTGCTCAATATTACGATATGGATCCTGAAAGATGTCAATCATATTATGATCAAAAAGAATATAATGATAATAGAGGTGAAATCGATGAAAGACTTCATGGTAAACAATCTCGTTTGGATAAAAACAAAAATGGAAGAATAGATTCGGAAGATTTTAGATTACTTAGAAAAAAAGGAAAAAATACGGAAATGGAAGAAGGCAACGCATTTTCAGGAGCTCTTGCCAATGCTAAAAAAGAAGGTAAATCTCATTTTTCTGTTGATGGTAAAAAATATACTGTTAAAGAAAGTAAAAGACAAAATGATAATGGTGTTTTATATAAATTAGAATACATTAATGAAACCGCATTGTTTACTGAAGATGAAATAATAGATATTATTGAGGGTATTATTAAAGAAGAAAGTAAAACAAAAAATACGATTAAAACAGGTAAAACACCTGCAGGGTATATGGCATATGAAAAGTCACATAAAGGTTCGGGAAAAGAAGAAGATGACTATATGAAAAGTTTTGAGAAGAAAATGAAAGATTATCTTAAAGACGGATCTAAAGGTAAGTATGAAATGAATCCTAAACATTTTCCTATGGGTAATGGTGAAATTGAAAAAATGGAAAAAATGGCTTATGTACCATCAAATGCTGTTCAAGACTATGTTGATAATTTTACCGCTGCGGCATTAGAAAATTTGGATTATGATGGAATTAATCCAAATGAAAATTGGGTAACAGACAATATTGAAGGTTCATCTAGAACGGGTAATAACCCTGAATGGGCAAATGCAGTTGAAACACCAACAAACAAGAAAAGAAATAAAATAAGAAAAGATAATTTACTTGGTAAACTGAAAAGAAAGGCTTATAATAAGTCTCCACAACCTGTAGTTAATGATAGTACTGGTAATTCTAATGATAAGGCAAGTAAATTAATGGTGAAACTTGAATCAACTGAAGAGAAACAAACTAAAAAACTTAATGAGGAGTTCGATAGAATGAAGTCGTTGATTGGTTATCAAGATAAGACACAATAATTTACATAAAAAATATCTTTGTTATTATTCTCCATAGATACTTGTCTATGGAGAATTTTTTTAATTATATAGCAAAACCAATGGATCCCGATGATGTGGACATATGGTTTAGAGTTAATAATATAATACCTGAAAAAATGGATTTATATTATGACTTTAGTTTTTCATTATACTATTTGATTTTAGACACATATTTGGGTGACGACAAAAATAGTGAAACCAAAATAGTATTGTCTGATGAAGATAATTTAAAACATTTTGAATGGTGTTGGAATAAAACAATTGAGAACTTTCAAAAAGAAGAAATTACTTTTAATAAAAAAGGGGATCATTATGACTATTTCTTATCATTCTTCACTGACATATTCTATAATCAAAAGGAGAACAAAATAAAAAGTTCAATAGGAACATTCTTCAACGATTTATTTGATAGGAAAAAACCTTTTACAAAATCTGATTTGGATATGATATCAAGTATATATAAGTCATTAGATAAAAATATGTCAGTATAATATTGACATTAGAGTTAACTAATTTAGATTTATGATAATATAAATAAACTTTTTTTAATTAACAAAATGGAAACATTAGAAAAAATTAAAGCACTTACGGAGGAACTTAGTGTTGATGTAACAAAGTTCAACAGTGGTAATAAAAGTGCGGGAACTAGAGCAAGAAAGACTTCCCAAGAATTAAAATCTTTATTACAACAATTAAGAGGTGAAATTCTAGAATCTAAAAAAGCTGCGTAATATGACTAACATAAATACTATATATCTTTTTGTATTTGTGTTCTCACTAATTGCAGTATTTAGAATTGTTTTTAGATTTACTGTTTCCCTACTACAATCTGAACCGAAAAAATTTGTGATGAGTAGTAGGGAAACTATTTATTTAGGTTTATTCATATCTTACATCATAACATATTTAATACAATTAAATTAATGGGATTATTTGAAGAATTCAGTATACTATTTCCTTACTTACAGTCAGTTAGGAAAATTAAAAATTATTTATCTTTTGACATTGAATTTCCTGAAACATGGAAGTTACCTAAAAAATATGTCAATGAGAAATCTGTAATGGAGAATGAAAAAACAACAACAGGTTATAGGTTCTTCTCATTTGTTGCTGAGTTTAATGAAACCTCAACAAACCAATTAATTGATAGTATTAAAAATGTCATCTCTTACAATAAAGAGAGAGAAGAAAAAGACAGGTTATTTCAGCACAAGGTAAATGAGTTGAAAGCGATTTTTGAAAAACAAAATTTAAATAGTCTACAAGCTTTGAAATTTGACATAAATGATCCTAAAATTGAATTAGAAGATGACGAAGAAACCACTGAGCCAACTGGAAGGGATGCAGGATTGGTTGAAGAACGAGATTAATAAAGATAAGAAAGAACTTGAACTTGAAAAAATAAGATTTCTAAATGAGATTAAAAATCTTAAAAAAGAAGACATAGTTCAAAAAAATACGAAGAAAGTTAAACTAACAATATGGCAGAAACTGAAAAAAATGTTAATGGGATAATGGAAAAATTGGCATTAATAACTGATGCCACCCAATCCATGTTCCCAAAAGGTAAATCCGTAATAGTTTTTGAATTGAATGAGGGAGACTTCAAAGAAGTGTTAGGAAATTTTAGACAACTCGATCAAGGACATAAAAAATTTAAAATTGATATATCAGGAGTTGAGGTTGTTTTTATTTTGGAGGGTCAATACGACGACTCAAAAATGAATATAACACCTGTAAAAAGGAGTTTTATTGAGAGACTATTCCCTTTTATAGGTCGTAAATCGTCTATATAAAACTGATTTAGGTATACCATTACTGGATAATAAATCATAAAGGTATTTTTTTTGTTGTGGTGATGAATCTTTAACAATGATAGTATCAATTCTACCTTTATTAATCATATAATTAGATACACCATCAACAAATCTATCACAATCATCTTCACTCTTTAATGAAAATAGATTTATATCACTGTCATGTTGGATAACAATTTTGTTATTAATTTTTGATAAAAGTTTAACCCCAACTTTAGGTAGGTATTTTCTCATAAATTTATCAACACCTATCTTAGTTTTATTTTTAATATCATATAATTGTTCCTCTTTCCTATACGGGTTAATTTCAACTATAGTGTAGTTTGGATCCTCAAGTTCAATTTTTATTGTCCTACCAAAATCATCTCTAACAAAATACGGTGATGACTCACCCATCTTTGAAACTAATGCAAGTTCGTAGATACATTTTTTACCATTCTCAGTCTCAACACCAAAAAATACATTTTTATTTTCTTCTATTAAGTTTTTGTAATATTTTGTGGCGTTAACTTTAGTTTTAAACTTCTTTATAATTTTCTTTTTTACCTTATTTTTGAATAATACAATTGTGAAATTGTCCATTTTTTCATATCTTTGTAATTAAATATAATTAAAATACTATATAAATGAATATTCCGAACTATTACGACATATTAGGCGTTCCTGAAACTGCAACCCAAGATGAGATAAAAAAAGTATATCGTAAACTGGCAAAAGAAAATCACCCTGATGCTGGTGGTGATGAGGAAAAATTTAAACAAATTGCTGAAGCGTATGATACTATTGGTGATGATAATAAACGACAAGAGTATGATATGAGAAGAAAGAACCCATTTTCAGGAATGGGAGGAGGAGACGATATATTCCAACAGATGTTTAATCAGGCATTTGGTAATCGTAGACAAGAAAATAGAGTACATGATTTAGTTATTGATACTGAATTAAAAGTTACTGAATCATATTTGGGTGCGAATAAAGAAATCACATATCGTAGGAAATTAAAATGTGATCCATGTAATGGTAGTGGGGGTGAGAAGAAAATTTGTCCTGAATGTAATGGACAAGGTTCTGTTGTGAGACAGATGGGGTCTGGTATGTTTATACAAATGGTACAAGTTGCTTGTAACACTTGTTCAGGACATGGACGAGTTATTATAAATCCTTGTCATATTTGTAATGGTAGTGGGACTAAAGATGAGATGAAAACTGTTGAAGTTAAATTACCTAATGGCATTGATGATGGACAATTCATCCGATTACAAGGTGTTGGAGATTTTAGAAACGGTGTTTATGGTAACTTAGTTGTTAGAGTTAAATTGGTTTCTGATAATAATTTTGAAAAATATGGTCCTCACTTAATTTACAATGCTTATTTCACATTAGATGATTTAAAGAAAAATGATTTTGAAATACCTCATCCTGACGGTACGGTAAGATTACGATTCCCAAAGACATTTGATACAACAAAACCCTTAAGAGTTAAATCAAAAGGGTTTAAAGGTGAAGTTATAGGTGACTTGTTGGTTAACCAGCATGTCAGATTTGAAAGGGATTAAAATAGAGAAATAATATCTTTAATAATTTGAATGGTACCGTAAATTCCCGCGCCAAACATATATAATGAGAAAATTAATAATCCCCATTGTGTTTTACTCATACCTTTTTTACATTGACTACATCCTGTAACTTGTGTTGCTTCTTCTTTTGATTGTTCTACTTCTTGTTTCATAATGTTATTTTTGATAATAAATAATTATATCACCAATTATTTTATAAGTGAATGATTGGTTAATAATTGATTCTCTTATTACAATATCATCATTTCTTGTTATTATAATCTCTCTAGTGTTAACATTATTAAATAATTTTTTTGGGTGACGGATTGAGGTATTTATTGTGATTTTAAGATTATTATTTTTTATGTTGTAATGAGTAAATAATTGATAATCAAAACCTAAACGGTAATCACGAATCAATAATGCACATTTATGTTTACAGGTATTAAATAAAATAAATGATTGATTAATTAAAACATCGTATATGTCCGACATTGAGTCCATGATTTCATCCGTTGGGACTCTAATAAATTCACCACTACCGGTAATAGCTCGGAAAGATTCATAAGTTTGAACGATACTCAATGGTTGACCATTAATGGTAACATTTTTAATAGGAATACTCTCAACAATTATACTCTTAAGTAATGGTAATAAATTCATATATAATATAAATACAAGAAACCCCACCTTTTTAGAGATGGGGTTACAATTATTTCATTCCTAAAATTGAGGTAATCAACCCAGACCGATTCACCCAGTCATTAGCGGTCAGTTTGTTTAATAGGATTCTGACAACCTGTTGATAATATTGATTACTCAACCACATCAACAATACAAAGATAATGAAGTTTTTGGTTCTGCCAAAACTTTTGTAATCTTTTTTAAAAAAAATATTCATTGACTGATTATCATAAATATCTTATACTTTACCTATGTTAAGTTATATCGGAGGTAAGAGTAAAATTGGAAAGTGGATAGTCCCTTTCTATGATAATAATATGGAAACATATGTTGAAACATTCGGAGGGATGTTTTGGTGTTTCTTCAACATGGACTTAAAACAGTTCCCAAACCTAAAGAAAGTTGTTTATAACGACTTTAATCCACTCAATTACAATCTGTTTAAATGTATTCAGAACCCAACTGAATTATTGAATGCAATTAACGCAATTGATTGTCAGAAATTTGGTGTAGAAGTAACTCCACCAATTTACAAAGAACAGTTTATAAGGTTTCAGGCTGAAATTTTTAATGAGGGTTTCAGCGTAGAACCTGGCGATTATGAAGTTGCTGCTAAATACGCTTATGTTCTTACACAGGTTTTTAGTGGTTCTAAACCTGAGACAAGTTCATTTATTGACTTGAAAGGTAAGTATAAATCAAAGTATCTTACATTTAGAGATAAATTATCTAAACCTGATTGGGTAGAACATTTCTTGAAAATTACGGATGTTGAAAATATGGATTTTGAGGATGTGATTAAAAAGTATGATTCACCAACAACATATTTTTATGTTGATCCACCATATTGGAAAACTGAAAATTACTATTCAAATCACGATTTTGACAGAGAAGATCATGAAAGACTTGCAAATATATTAAAAGGAATGGAAGGTAAATTTAGTTTGTCGTATTACGACTTCCCATTGTTGTCGGAATGGTTCCCTAAAGAACAATATAGTTGGGAGAAAAAAGAATTTGCTAAGGCGGCAGCCGCCAAAAAAGGTACCAAACAAAATATGGGTGAAGAATTACTTATACTGAATTATTAATTAATTTATTCATTTTTATTTATCGTAATATTTATAGTAAAAACATCAAATGAAATTAGTAAAAATTTTATCATCGGTAATCGTAGAAAATGTTGATCCTAAATTTAGATTAACAGAAATATCAAATAAATTAATGAATCAACTTGTCCTTAAATTTAGTAACGAAACTAAAGATTCTGAGGATGATATTAAAAGTTATATTAATGATTTTGATAAATATAAAAACGGATTACCTGCCGACAGACGAGACATTACAAAATACACATATGACCAACTTAAGTCTGTGATTTTATCAAAGAGAATTAAGAAGGAAGAAGGTGATATATTTAAAACCTATATGAAGGGTCCTGGTAAAGGTTCTGATCAAAGACAAGTTAAGTCTATGATTAAGAAATTCTTAGAGATAAGAAATTATCTACCTGAACCTAATAGGGACATTATGAGATATCCTTATTTGAAGTTGGTTGAATTGATACAAAATAAATTTGGTGGAATTATTACCAAGGCAGCTTTTGAAAAATATAAGAAAGAAAGAAACGATTTAACAAACGAGCAAATACTTTCTTACATTGAAAGATATGTTGATTTGTATGATAGATTGGAAGCAAATACGCCACCGATTATGTTAATGTCATTTGATGAGTTGGAGGCGGCATTGGATCATTTACCTGATGGGGATGATACACCAAAGAAAAAAGGTGACGACTTTAAAGACATTGAAACAATCTACGATAAAGATAATTTGTATATCTTCAAACCAAACGGTAAAGAACAATGTATTAGATTAGCACATGGAAGACCTTGGTGTACATCAAGAATTGGTGGTGGTAACTTATATTACAACTATCGTTTGGAAAATAACTTAACACTTTACTATGTTATTGACAGAGATACACCATTTGATGATTTGAACTTCGCGGTTGTTATCTTGGTTGATGAGTATGGAAGAAAAAGAATAGCTGATGGTAAAAACATGGCTGGTGGATATTCAGGACACAGAACAGAGACTTGGGATACAATCTCATCTAAAGTTCCGAAGTTAAAAGACAAAGAATACTTATTTACTCCAGATCCACTTACCGATAGAGAAAAAGGATTATTAAGAAAATACAAACATATTAATGTTCAAGACGATGCGGTTAAAGAACTTGGTTCAGTTGAAGATGCTGAGTTTTGGTTAGAAATTGCAAGTCCAAACCTAACAAACAAACCAAGAGTTTATATTAATTTACCTGCAGAACTTAAAAAGAAATATATTTCTTTGGGTATGGATTTAACAGGTGATATGATTACAAGTTCAGAACCTGATGTTGTTAAATATTATTTGGCAAGAAAGATTGATTCGTTGAGAACCAAAACTTTAAATAATCTTACCACCGCGGATATCGCTTTGATTAATATGCCGGGAATGAAAAATCTTAAGGAAGAACTTAAGGTTAAATATGCTGGACAGTTGGCAACAGAAGGTGACAACATTGTTAAGATTACATACCCGAATGATGCGTCATCAAAATATATTGCATTGTTTGGTTTTGATGAATTATTTGAAAATTTACCTGAAAGTATTACATATTTAACAATATCAAATAAATCAAACGATTCTCTTGATTTGGATATACCGGCAAGCATTGGTAAGTTTACAAATATAATAGCATTGGTACTTGAGAATTGTGTAAAATCACTACCTGAAGAATTAGGAAGAATGGAAGGATTAACATTCCTAACATTACAGAATAATAAAAATCTTCAAAGTCTACCTGAGTCTTTAGCGGATTTAGAGTATTTGGATCTTATTGCGTTATCGGGATCAAATCCAAGTGTTGTAATACCTGAAAGATTAAAGAATATGATGGTTGAAGAAGGTGATGGTTTTTACTATATTTCAAGAGACTAATTTAAATCTGAATATATGAGTAATGTTGATATTGAAATTTATGTATCACAATTAATTAATTTCTTTGAGAGTAATCCAAACGATTTAATTGAATTGATAGGTAATCTTCAGAAAGAAGAGTTCTATCAGAAATTGAGAGAGAAGTGTGAAGAGAACTATAAGAAAGGTGAAGATATTGTTTTGACAAAAAATCAAATTATTGATATTGTGGTGGAACTTAAAATACCTGAACTATCGGATAAATTAAATCCTAAACAAGTTGTGGAAGGGTTTATCCAAAAAACAAAGTTTGGAGATATTATTTTAAATTAATTTCATTTCGTATTTGGCAATTACAAATTAATTACTATCTTTGTGATGTAATTAAAACCAAAACATTATGATTTATACACCAGAACTTATCAAATCCGTAGCCCCTTCAGTATTCGCAACATCAGCATCAAGCAAGTTGTCTGACAAGTATGTCTTTGTACCAACCGATCAAGTCATTGAATTTTTCGATCGTGAAGGTTGGGAAATTTCAGATGTTAAACAAACAGGTAAAGGAATTCACGCAACCCATCAAATTAGATTCCGTAATGGAGAACTTCCTTCAGTTGGAGACACATTGGTTGAAGCAATTGTTCGTAACTCACACAATGGTATGTCAACATTCTCAGTGAGTGCCGGACTTCACCGATTGGTATGCTCTAACGGACTTACAGTACCTACATCAGTTGCTGACAAATTTAATGTTAGACACAGTGGGTTTGAACTTGACGATGTGAAACGATTGATGGACGGTTTTGCAAAGAAACTACCGACAATTCAAGGATCTGTTGGACGAATGATGGAACGAGAACTTACCATTGACGAACAAATCCAATATGTTCAAAAGGCGTCAAAAATCCGATGGGCTGAGGGATCAATCCCAACTGACAACCAACTTGTTGACATCCTTACACCAAATCGTGTGGAAGATAGTAATAACGACTTGTGGACAACCTTCAATGTAGTACAAGAGAAGTTTGTACGAGGAGGGTTTGACTACCGAACTAAAACAGGACGAAAGTCAAAACTACGAGATCTTAAAAGTATCTTGGCGGTAAACAACATCAACACAAAACTTTGGGAACTTGCCGAAGAAATGATTTAAAAACAACGGAGGGTTAATCACCCTCCTTTTCTATTATGGAGAATAGTGAAATAAAATATTTTAAAAAGATTGATGACTTTATTACTTCTTTATTGGAGAAAACGAATAAAGTGTACAGTGTTATTGAGTGTATGGATTATATTCCGATTACACCTGAACTTTTATTAACTAAACGATTTACAATTGAGTATCTTGATAGTAAATCTTATGGAGGTTCTTTAATCCATACTGAAGGTATTTTTAGAAATAATGCTGGTATCTATCTGTACTTATCTAAAATGGAGGTTGAGACTACTTATAAAATAAAAGTAATATACGACATATCACAACTTGATGAAGTTGTGTTATTCATAAAAAATTTAACAAGATTAAAATAAAATGGAAATTACAGGAAATCAATTACAAGAAAAAATAAATAATGGTGAGAAAGTAATCGTTGAATTATGGGCAACTTGGTGCGGACCCTGCAAAATGATGAAACCAATTTTTGAAAGAGTTGCAACTGAAAATACTACTAATGTACAGATGTATACGATGGATGTTGATCAAAACAGAGAAGTTGCAATGAAATTAGGTGTTAGAAGTGTCCCAACAATTAAAGTATTTAATGGTGGGAATGTAACTAACACAAGAGTTGGGGTTCTCCAAGAAAATGAAATAAAAGGTTTAGTACAAGAATTAATCAATGGATAAGGTAGTAGTATTATTCACAATGGAAGGATGTCCTTTTTGTGTTGAGATGAAAGATATGTTAGTTAAAGAAGGGATTGATTTTGTTGATCGCGACATTGACGAATATGAAGAGGAATATAATATGTTTGTTGAGATAACAGAGAATGAATTTGTTCCGGCATTTATGTTAATTGAAAATCCTGAGACAGAACCGATTAGTCAATTATTTGCACCTGATAGAGATTATCAAGATTTAGAAGACGGTGTCAAGATAATTAGAGAATGGATTGAGAAATAAAAAATAAACCCCACCTTTTAGGATGGGGTTTTTTGTTAGAATAGAATTATATGTTCTAATAAATCTTGTTTAAGGTACGGTTTTTCACCATCAGGATTCAGGACATCATCAATTAAATTATAATCCGACAAACGCTCTCTAAATGAGTCCATATTAAAATCAAATACATCAAGAATAAGTGACTTAATTGATTTCTTGTCAATTTTTGAGTCGGATATAATTTTAATTTTTAAATCTTCATTATTGTCTTCCTCAGTGGTGAAATAAAATGATACTTCATTAACACCTAATAAATTAAACATATGGTTCATTATGTAATGTGAGTAATAAGTGTTTAACCTTCCACAATCTAAACTATAACCATATGGGAATTCAGATGAAATTGATATTTCTGAAATATCAGGTTCAGGTTCCTCAACAAAAATATCTTTATTTACCATAACCCAACCCTTATGAATTGTGTTTATATCCTGATTATATCTAACAACATCAATGGTATTAATATCTGACATCTCCAGCTCCTTTAGGGTATCACCAAAAGATTCCTTGAACTCATTTTTAATTTCGTTTATGTCTAAATACTCATTTGATGTTGTTAAACCATTAACAACCATAAACGCACCACAATCTGTGACTTGGATAATTGATTTTTCTGTTTTGTTGATTTTTGAGAGAATAAAGTCGGCAAATAAATTTACGATTCCTCTTTTTGAATTTTTGTTAATTAATCTCATAACTATTAAATTTTTATAATGTGTATGAAATTAAAACAACATTATAAATAGTTTAGTAATAAAGACGATCAGGTAACCCGTCATTGATATTCTCAACAACTTTTCTATCATCTGGATAGTCAGGAACCCTGATTCTTAAAAAATCATCACTATCGCCCATGTAATGGCGTAACATTGATGAGTAATCACCATATTCAAATAAAGTATCCTCATATCCAACAAATGAATTTAAAAAATTCTCAATATCACTTTTAATGTTTTTAATTTTAATATAAGGTATATATACGGTTTTTAAACCGTTTTTGTTTTCAACCCAACTGTGCTTACCCTCAAAGTAAGTTGATAACTCATCAAATACCTCCGAGTACACTTCATCATTATATGCCTGATTGTAAGCCTCATCACCCAACCAACGCAAACTATTCATCAAATCATTTAAATCACCTTTAAATAATGAATTCATAGAGTCCTCATCCTCAACAACAGACATCACATTTGATTCAGTAATGATAAACCTACCATCGTCATCCGACATATCTCTAAACAATTCACTTTTATAATCATCTAAAGATAATTCTTGATTACCAACCAATTCTAAAACTCTCTCGGCTAATAATTTAATATTCTTTTCGTTAAGTTCTTCCACAATATCTCTATAAACATCGTGAACGGTATCACTATAAGGTTCCCACCAATCCTCATCTAAAACATTTTTTACAACATCTCTATCGTTATAATCTCTTGAATATTGACTGTCCCTAAAAAAATCGGATAACTCAGTTAAGTCACCCAACATTAAATAATAACCATCACCACGAATTTCAACATCACTTAAAAAACCCTGAACAATCTCGTTTAGATATGAAGGATCGTTTTGTAGGCGATATAACATCAACTCATTTACAAACCGTTGATCTTCGTAGTGTATACTTTCTAAATCAAAATATTCTAAAAGTCCTGCGCGTTTTACATAGGAATAAAATCTTTTTACATCACCTCCGAATACATCAGAAATATCATCCCATTCACCATTGTTGAATTTATTTACTAAATCTAAAACTTTTGACATACCTATAAATATAAAAAAAGGTGGAAACTTTCGTAACCACCCATTAATTTCTTTGGTGGAAATAAATTACCTCTTGTTATAATACTTCTCAACGATTTTTTTAACTGACTCTTGAACAGTGGCATTTTTTACTTGCTGTGGCTGTCCTTGAGCGGGTGCTTGTTGAGTAGCGGGAGTTCCACCATTGTTCTTGTTTTTGCATCCACACGACATAATTAATTGTTTTTATTGGTTTATTATTTCAAATTTATGGTTATAAATGGTTTTTCTTATTGAACCACTAGCCCCATTGTTAACTTTTTTACCCCTCAGTGCGTAAGATATTTTTTGTCTAACATTTCTAGGATTACCATTTGAAAATCCATTAGATATTAAATAATTTGCACCCTCAACAAGAGTATCAAATATAAATATCTCATTAGATAAAATATTAGTGAGAGAGTATTTAGTAAAGTTATTATTTTTTTTTAAATTATATTTTGATAAAGAAACCTTAACTTCTTCATTATATGTGTTTCTTCTGAACTCATTAACTAATGATAGATTATAACCTAACGATAAATTATTTGAATTGAATTTATTAATGTAAAAATTTTCTCTATCAATTAAGTCAGAATATGAGCATTCCTCAAGGATTTCAAATACGAAATGGTTATAACCATATTTATCAAAAGATTTTTGTAAATATTTGTTATCGTGAGTACCGTTAGACAACATCCAAAAATGTTTATATTTTCTACTACTCATATTAATAGAACTACCTACATATGACTTATTATTAACAACATTTAATATTCTATATATACCGCATCCCATAATGATAAATATCACCATTTAATTAATAATTTTGGTATATCAATAATATTTATAAAATATGAAAAAAGTAATTAGACTTACCGAATCAGATTTAATTAAAATAATTAAAACTAAACTCAACGAAGAAGAATCTGAATTTATTGAAATTCCCGCAAATGAATATGAACAGTTATTATCTGTAACTGGATATAATGGTGCGGCTCTTGAAAAGACAAGAAGGTTTAGAGGTAAGAAAATAAAAGTAAACGGTAGGTTAGATATATCAGGTAAACCAGTTACAAATCTTGGAACAATATATCTACAAGGATCATTAGAGGCAACTGGATCAAAGTTAGAAACCTTAAATGGTGTGACAATTACGGGTTCTAAATGGTACTATAATACACCATTGGAGTCTAAAGAAAAGATAAGGAAACGAAGAAAAGAATTGGATGATGCCCAAGAAAGAAGAGAAAATGGTGTGTGGGACTTAGATTATCCGAACATTGATGATGAGGGATTAAAAGCAAATGCCGCGTTTCAGTACCTTGTTGAAAATGGTGAGATAGAAGAAATAACATCTGAAGAAAAAAGAGAATTAAAAAATTTAGAACAAAGACAACTTAATATTTCTGATAGAATGGAAGCGGAAAATGATGAGGAACTTTTATCTGAATTGCAAAGTGAATACGATGAATTACAAGAAGACATTGATGATTTATTAAGAAAGGAAAATAATGATGTTTATGGATTGATACCCAAAAGTTCTGGACATTATAATATGTCATCTTTTATGACAACATATGATGATTTAAATGATGTGACAATTGCCGTTGGAACCGAATATGAAGCGGATGAATCAAAAAAAGAATGGGTTGAACAATTATTGGATGATGGAGGATATAGACACTTTAATCAATATACGGTTGAAAGACATATTGATGGTGATGAGGTTGCCGACTATTTTGAAGATGTTATTAGAGAATGGATATATGATGACCCTAATAATTATGACATAGTAAGAGACTTAAGTAGAAGTCAAAAAGATGAACTTTGGGTTCTTAGAATGGAGAAATGGGTTTATGAAAATGAAGGAGTCAGATTTCCGATAAAGTACCCAACAAAAGAAGAAAACGGAACAATCTTTGATTTTTGGGATGAAGATGAAGAACACGAATTTCAATTAAAATATGAAGGAAATAAGTGGGTATTATATAAAGACGGATCGATAGTTCAACCAGGTCAACTATATGATGATGAAGATACTGACGATCACCAAGATGATCGTGAAAGTAGAATTTCTGATATTGAATATGAAATACAACAAATTGAAGAAAATCCTGATGGTGATTTGGATGAAGATTCGGTTGAAGAAAGGGTTGAAGATAAAAAATACGAAATTTCTAATGACCCTATAAGTTGGTTGAGAAATTACGACATGGATGTTGATAATTTTATTGATGAAAAGGCGTTTATTGAAGATGTTGCTGGTGATGAGGATTATGGTATTTTGAATGGTTACGACTCAACATATGATATTATTAATTTGGGTAACCAAAGTTATGTTGTAATGATAACCGATAAATAATTTACAGATGACAAAACCTTTATTATACTTGAATAAATGGCAAGAAAAAAGAAAAATAAAGGAATTGAATTTATAATGGAAACAGATTGGTTATTTGAAAAACCAATTGATCAAGAACACAAAGAATATAAATTATTAAGTTACTTCCAAAAAATGGGGGAAAAACTTGATAACATGGAACTATATCCTGGTTTCATAGAGTTGTCATTACATTTAGCAAGTATTCAAACCCTAATTAAAGATAAAAAATTAATTTATACTGATAAGAAGTTTGATACGATTGATGATGAACTCCTTGTTAAAGATTTGAAAATCAAACAAATTCCTGACATGACACAGGAAGAAACTCAAGAGTTTATTAGTATATTAAAATTTTCCGCACCAAGACTAATGGAGTACTTCAATGTTGCAAAGTCCGTGTGGTCAGTCGTGTTTGAAACAATTGAAGTTAAAATTAAAAAGAACAAAAAAAATCTATCGTTAAACAAAGGTTACTTTTACTACAATGAGAATAAAACAAATAGTTTATATGTTTGGGAGTACAACATAACACCAGCATCAAGAGATTCCATTGAGAAAAAAACACTTGTAAATTTAATTCATTCCGAACCAAAAGATAAGTTGACTATACCAAAAATAATTAATACATTTTCTCAATGGAGTTCTGATGAAGAAAAACCATCATTACCTGTGTTTGAAATGAAATGTAGTGATATATTCCCAATCAATGAAACATTACTACCATTATTCAAAAGAAAACTGATTTCATATATTAATCAAGAAATGTATGGGAAAGAAAAAAAAGTGATACAAATTAAAGTTAAGTAATATGGATATAATAGAAATTTTTGAAAAGTTGGTTAAGGAAAATCCAAACGATAGTGATTTGGGTAAAAAAGTTAGAGAAATGTATCACAAATTAAAGAGTGAAAATAATGGGATTCAACAAGAGGATACTCAGAAAAGATAATATTATTAATAATCTTGATAACCTATCAAGATATCTATCAGCCGATGCAATTATTATTAGTGACGACTTTTCAAATGAAGTGTTCAAAATGTTCTGCGAAGGAAAAACTGAGGATGAAATCATAAAATATATAAATAAAAACAAATGAAGATTAAACTTGAATATCTGTGGTTAGACGGATATATGCCGGAACCAAATTTAAGAAGTAAGGTAAAAATTGTTAATTACGATGACATAAAAAATTCATTTATAACGGGTAGATTTCCTGAATGGAACTTTGACGGATCATCAACAAACCAAGCAGAAACTGGGACTTCAGACTGTATTTTAAAACCTGTAAGACATTATTTGGATGATAAATTTGGTAGTGTGTATGTTCTTTGTGAGGTTATGAATTCAGACGGAACACCACATCAATCAAATACCAGATCATTACTTGGTAATGAACAAGAGGATTTGTGGTTTGGTTTTGAACAAGAATACTTTATCTATGATAGAAAAAATAAATGTATTTTAGGCCACGATGAAAACAACTTGGAACCACAAGGTAAATATTATTGTGGTGTTGGAGAATATGTTGCGGGTAGAGAATTTGTTGAAGAACATATGAATTTATGTTTAAGGTATGGGATTAACATAACAGGAATAAATGCCGAGGTTGCACTTGGGCAATGGGAGTATCAAGTATTCTCTCAAGGTAAATTGAAATCAGGAGATGATTTATGGATGACAAGATACCTACTACATAAGTTGTCCGAAAAATATAATTATGGGATTGAACTACATCCAAAACCAATTCAAAAAGGTGAATGGAATGGATCTGGACTTCACACAAACTTCTCAAATTATAAAATGAGGGAAGAAGGTGGTGAAAATCATTTTAAATCAATTTTCTCAAGTTTTGCCACAAGACACCAAGAACATATTGAAAATTATGGTTCATCAAATGAATTAAGATTGACGGGTAAATTTGAAACCCAATCAATTAATAAGTTTAGTTGGGGTATTTCAGATAGAGGCGCATCAATTAGAGTTCCACAATCAACCGCAAAAGAATGGAAGGGATATGTTGAAGATAGACGACCATCTTCTAACGCTGATCCATATAAAATCATTTATCAAATATGTGAATCATTAAGAAATGCCGAAGAGATTGACGATATCAAACATAAAATGAATTATAAACTTGATATGGATAACCTTAAGATGGATTATAAAACAATCCCAACCGACGAACTACTAAAAGAATACTTCAATGATGAAGAATTTGAATTGGATGGTAAAACAATGGATGGAAGTAATATCCCTACAAAAGAAATTAAATTTGATTTAAATGGAAAATAATATATTTAACAAATTACCCGGAATGATGTTTGGTAAGGGTGAGGGTAACATTAGTTGGTACCCAGAAAGGATTCATACCCTACAAGATTTGGTATACCAAATTAAACCAAGAAATATTATTGAAATCGGATTCAATGAAGGACATTCAATGGTTTTAATATGTGAGACATTATTGAAAATAATTAATGAAGATCCTGATTTTAATAGGAAACCAATTATAGTTTTCATATTTGATGACTGTAAATATGAAAGTACGGTTAACAATCACTCAATACTTGCCGAGCATTACAGGAAGTGGAATATACATTTGAGTTTATTTCCTGGTAACTCCCTTGAGGTTGTTCCAAGAGTTTTAGACACCGCAAAAACAAAATTTGATTTTATTGAGATCGATGGATGTCATTTTAAGGAATGTGTAAATAGAGATATTAACAATGTGATTCATTTTATTAATGATGATGGTATTGTATATTTGGATGATTATAAGTCATCAAAAGATCCAACTGAAGGTGTTGATAACGCAATTGAATCATTTGACTGGCAAGGATTTAATACCTATTATATTGATGGAGTATTTTGGGCTCACAAAAAGAAAAAAGAAATGGAAGAAAAAAAGGAACAAGTAAATCACCCTAACCACTATGGAGGAGAATTAAATCCATATGAAGCAATTAAGGTTATTGATGCTTGGGACTTGGGGTTCTCACTTGGAAATACCGTAAAGTATATCTCAAGAGCAGGGAAAAAAGAGTCAGATAAAGAATTACAAGATCTTAAAAAAGCATTGTGGTATCTACAACACCACATAGAAACATTGGAGAAAAAATGATAGAAACAGGAAAAATAATAAATGGGGATTGTATTGAGGTAATGAAAACATTACCTGAAGGATCTGTGGATTTAATCGTCACATCACCACCCTATGGAGTCGGTATTGCATATGATACCCACGATGATGATGTTGAGTTTGAGGAGTATTTGGTATTTGCTAAAAATTGGTTAACTGAAGCGTATAATACATTAAAAGATGATGGACGAATTGCCTTAAACATACCATATGAAATCAACAGACAAAAGAAAGGGGGAAGAATTTTCTTTGTTTCTGAAATGTATCAATTAATGAAAGAAATTGGGTTTGGTTTCTTCGGTATTGTGGATTTGGAAGAACAATCACCACATAGAAGTAAAACAACGGCTTGGGGATCTTGGATGAGTCCGTCAAGTCCATATATTTATAATCCAAAGGAGTGTGTAATACTTGCATACAAAAAACACCACATTAAAAAGGTTAAAGGAGAACCTCAGTGGAAAGGGACACCTACTGAAATTGAACAGGAGGATGGAACCATAAAAAAGAAAGTTGTATATGAAGAACAAGATAAGAAGGAGTTTATGGAACTTGTTTTTGGTCAGTGGAATTACTTTGCAGATACTAAATCACTCACCAAGGCGACGTTCTCAATGGACATCCCAACTAAAGCGATCAAAATATTATCCTACAAAAACGATGTGATTTTAGATCCATTTGCGGGTAGTGGAACAACATTAGTTGCCGCTGAAGTATTGGGAAGAAGATGGTTAGGTATTGAGTTATCACCAAACTATACCGAGATAGCTAATACAAGAGTAAATTACTTTAAAACCTTACAGGAAATAAAAGAAGAACAACTCTAATATAAAACCCACCTTAAAAGTGGGTTTTTTTATTATACGGATATTTATTCATATATGAAAATAATTATAACGGAAAATAAAAGGGACAGACTGGTGTTAAATTGGTTGAATAATAAATTCGGTAATCTAACTAAGGTTGTTAACTATGATAGAACATTTTATGTTAATAAGGATAAAAAACCGTTATTTTACTATTATCAAGATGATAAAAATAAGTTTGTTTTTATTGATTACACAAGAATTTGGATATTTTTTGAATCCATTTTTGATATGGAATATGAACAAATACAAGATATTCTAAAAATATGGTTGGAAGAAACCTATAATTTGAGTGGATATTTACCTATTGATTACGGACACTAACCTATAATATAAAATAAAGTATGAAAATATTTCTCACGGAAAAACAATTAAAATATTTAAAGTCAAATCTTATTTCAGAGTCAGATGAGGTAAATCAATATGGGTTTACACAGGACGAAATGAAACGAATTGAAGAATTTGTTAGAAAAAATGTTAAACAACAATATGAATGGTTAAAAAAAGAAGTTGAGGAGGGTGAAGAATATTCCGAACTATTAGAAAAAATAAAAACTCATCTTAAGAATAATCCTGATATACCAAAGAATTATTTTGATTATCTTATTAAAGAATATGAGGGAAAAATAAAACAATACGAAAGAAATAAAAAGAACCTTGAAAATTTTGATTTTGAAGAGTATGTTAAAGATGGTATTGATAGAGATATACACGGAGGAGCATATTCAATGGCTTGGAATATCAGAAGCGAAAAATGGGAGAAAGAACAATTAAATAGAAAGTTAACAAAAGAAGACATAACTGATATTTTAGTTACCGCTCTTGAGGGAGGATCAAATTATTGGTATTTAATTGATTTACCTGAAAATATAAAATCATATGGGCAATCAAAATCTGAAGCGGTTGGTGAATATGTTTTACGAGGTGGGTCAATTGATTTCTACGATAAGGAAGAATATTATGATGTTAGGAGAGCATTAAAAGATGGTGATTACAATATTGGTGATAGTGATGATATGGTTGATGAAAAGAGTTATCAGGAAGACATTGAAAATACTAAACTCGGACATATTGATATGAACAGAATATTAGAGGCAATAACAAAAATAAAAAGTGAATATCCTGAAGTTTGGAAAAATATATTATTGGAAAATGCGGATGCTGGAGATGCCGATGTATTCTTACAACTATGTGTAATGGGTGAAGTTGTTTATGGGTAAATAAAAAATTATAAATTAAAAACCCCACTGATGAGGTGGGGATTTTTTATTTAAGTGATAACCACTTTGACTTATAATTTTTGTTAGTTCCACAATACCTACCATATTCATTTACAATAGGTCTACCCGTGTTATAACAACCACAAACAACATTCCAATCACCATATCTATTATAAAGTTTTCGTAGAAGTTTCATACTTGTCCTAATGTTCAACTCAATATCAGTCATAATTTTATGATTTGAATATTTCACTTTATTAATTGAATATGATGTCATAGGCATAATCTGCATCGGACCCAAAGCTCCAACACAAGAGATTCTTTCAGGATTGTACCTCCAATCAAAAGGACCTCTGTATGTTGTTTCTTTATACGCCACATTATATGCAACATACTTAGGAATGTTATATTCATCAGAGTATTTCTCAATACATTCATACATCCGAATAGAAATTGGTGAATTTGGAGTACCTGATCCCTCATTCGTAAATTTACTATTAGATTGAATCTCAATCGTTGACATACCTGATAAGGTAATAATGGTAACAAGACATCCCATCAAGTATACCAATTTTAAAATGTTGGATACTTTCATAATTTATTATTTTGATGTGTCTGAGAAAATATTTCTAGCGTATAGTTTAAACACCGAAACACCGATTGAATCTTGATAAACTGTGTAGTCACCAGTTTTCTTGTCAATGATAATTAGATGGTTATGTTCATCTAACGCTAAATTAACCTGACTACGATTAACTTTAACCATATGGATGGTTGGTTTCTTTGGACCATATTCGTTATTATACGCTGAACCTGCGTAAAATCCCGCAAACAACGAAACCACAATAAACGACACAACTACCACATTTCTAAATAAAGGTTTATACCTTTCCACGAATTCATTAAATTTCTGTTTCATATTTTTAAGTTTTAAAGATTTATACAAACATAAGAATTTTTAAACAATAAGACAAATGGTATTTACATTTTGGATCTGAAAGGTATTTATGGTTATGAGAAAAAATTTAATATTAGAATCAGGATTAAGGGATATTAACAAATTAGCTAAAAGATATCCTAAAGCTAAAATATATTTTCACCAAGATTTAGATGGTGTTACTACCGCACTTGCAATGAAACACTATTTGGAGAATAATGGTATTAAAGTTGTTGATGCCGAAATAATCCAATACGGGGATAAAGAATTTTCAGTTAAGAAATTAGATGCTGAAGGTGATACAATGCCGGTTCTAGTTGATTTTGCTCACGGAAAACCAATGTTTGTTATCCATACCGATCACCACGATACTCAAGCCGGAGTTGAACAAGGAACATCAACAAGTTTTAGATCATCAAGATCGAATGTTGAAACAATATCTCAAACAATATCACCTAAAGATATTTTCTCACCTGAAGATATTACATTAATATCAACTGTGGATTCTGCGGATTACGCAAAACACGATATCGCACCTGAACAAGTGATGAACTACCTATTCAAATTAGATAAGGATAAAACATTACAAAGAAATAAAATGTTAATGGGGTTGGTTGTTAATAAACTATTATTGGCATATAAAAATAAACCAGGTTTTCTTGAAGAAATTGTTTTAACCGCAAATCCATCATTAATGAGTATCCTGAATAATATCAGAGGACAAATGATGAGTAAAGGATACGCTGAGGTTGGTGATCTTGAAAAGAATAAGGAAATGTATGTCCAAACGATGAAGTCACACCCTAATGTTAAAATTGATGACAACATTATTGTACAATACGGTGGTGGATCAATGATGAAACCAGGTTCTTACGATAGATATACTCCATTTAGAAATAATCCTGATGCCGACTTCTTGGTTATTGCTTGGCCGTTAGGATTGGTTCAAGCATCTTGTAACCCATTTAAAAAAGAAAGAGCACTTAAAGGAGTTAACTTAGGTGAGATTAAAGATGAAGTATTAGGAAAATGGGAATCACAATTAAAAGATAGAGATATTCCATTATCAACAATTAAGTGGATATCAGAATCAGGAAAAGGATTTACACCTGAATCTGTTGGGTTCACCTATAAAGATTTTAGAGCGTTATACGGAGATAAGTTCAAATCAAAAGAAGGTAAAGATTTTATGAGAGATATTGATACGGCAATGTCAAAATCATTTACTGATTTAACTGATGAAGAGATGAGTTTACTTGATAGTGTTACCGTAACCGCTTGGGACATTATCCAATCAAATAGTGGAGGACATAAATGTATCACGAACATTTCAGGATTAAATTATATGGGTAGAAGTAAAAGACCACCTCAAGGGAAATACAAATACAGTTCTGAAAATGAGGACGCAGCATATGTGAAGTTCACTAAAATGATTCAGAATGAATTTGTTAGATTATTGAAAGAGAAAGTTCAAGAAGGTTAATCAAAGTATACTCTATCTCCTTTTGTAATATCATATTCTTCACAGGTTCCGCCCATAACTTCTAATATCATATCACCATTACCAGGATATCTCTTACATGGGTTAGAAGTACAAGGTTCACAGTTATGATGTATCTTAACAATAGTATTGTTACTTATATAGATAATATCCAAAGGAATTATACAATCCTTCATCCAAAAAGAATGTTCACTATCATTCATTATAAATAACATTCCATCAAATGTATCATCAAATTTTTTACCCATCATACCTTGTTGAGTGTCTTTTGATGTCATTACACATTTGACATTGAACAAATTGTTATTTATTATTATATCCATATACATAAATATAATGGCTAATAGAAAACTAAAAAGATTTTCGGGAATACTTGTCAAGTGTGGTAATAAATTTTTACTTTGTAAAAGAAGTCCTAATCAGTCTTCACCTAATATATGGTCGGTTCCTGGTGGTGGTGTTGAGTATGGTGAAAAACCTAAAGAAACCGCAATTAGGGAGTTTTATGAGGAAACTAATATTGATTTAACTAATGAGATTAATGACATAAGATTAGTTGGTACTTTTAATACATATACTAAAAATGGTGAAGTTAAAGGGATGATGTATATCTACTATTACCAATCAGATGTAGAGATATATCCTGATTTGGATATGGCTAAAGATGGACACGAACATAGCGAATGTGGGTACTTTAATTTCATGGATTTACCAATTGATGACCATAAAGACCCATTATTTAGATTAATTTTAACACTTTTGTAAAAAAAAATTGTCTTTTGGTTAACTACAATATATTTATGTGATACAAAACAACATTCCCTTCTAATTTATTGTTGGTTTAACATTAATGAAATCCCAAAAATTTTCGTAGTTGATTTTTTTTGGGATTTTTTTATGCCGTATCATTTTTATTTGTATATTTGTAGAAATAAAAAACATATGGGGATTTACATTTACACTTACAAGAAAAAATTTAATAAGAACGCAACTCTCAACGGAGAGAAAGTTGTTGTTGGAGAAGCAACATACCTTTGTAGAGCCGATTACAGTAACAACTACACAGCGGTTGAGAATCGTGAGATGATTAGAGCAACAAAACTCCCAAAAGGTGAACAACCTGACTTTATCACTTTTGATGGTGAGAATGTTTACAAAAACAACAAGTTTGGTATGTGGAATGATGGTTCAGGGTTTTATAGTGGGATTCATCACGAAAACGATCTTGTTGGAAAATTAAAAAAAGTGGGTAGAA